CCGCCGCAACGCGTGGGGCAACCTGTCCTACGCCGATCTCATCACCAAGGCCATCGAGAGCTCGGCGGAGAAGCGGCTCACGCTGTCGCAGATCTACGAGTGGATGGTCAAGAGCGTGCCCTACTTCAAGGATAAGGGCGACAGCAACAGCTCCGCGGGTTGGAAGGTGAGCGGGCTGAGTGCGCGGGCTGCTGCGTGCGTCGGGACGTGGTGGGGAGGTGAGGGGGTACCTGTGCAAGTTTGCTCTACGAGAGCGGAGCGCGCAGAGGGTCTTTCGCGGCCCGGGACCCAGACTGACTCGGGGTGCACGCGCGCGCTTGTAAGAGATCGAAAGGGAGGGGAACTAAGGCAGTCGAGAAAGTACGTCGGGAAGCGGATGTCAGTCCAGGTAGAAAAGTTCTCAAGTAAAAGGGGGTACGGTTCATCTGGACCTGCGCCCCCACAGCCGGCGCCGACTACCGCACTTAGCTCCAGTCCCTTGAGGACCTTGCGGTAAGGGTGGCTCCTCCGCCCCCGCGGGGCGCGTCCCCCCCAGCGGTTTCCGCCGCTCTAGGGTGGAGAGGCGCTGCGCGGGGCCCGGGACAGGTGGAGAGGCCTTGGAGGACGCTAGGGGGCCGATGCGGGATAGGGCGCGCGGTTTGGGGGCGGTGGGTGTACACTTCGTTTTATCAGACATGGCTTTGAGTGCGAGGGGCCCGGCGCGCCGAGCCCAAGGCAGCGCGTTCTACACGTGCGAAGGGGCGGCCACCGTCTGCGGAGCGCCGGCGCCTGGCCGCGCGGGCGAGCTAAAGTTCAAGTGTGACCCTCGGCGGGGGCGGGAACTAGCAGCAAGGGAGGGGCTGTGGGCGCAGGAAGCGGCTCCTTTAAAGGGCCAGCGCGTCCGGGCTGCGCGCGGTGGCGCGATGACCGCGGGGCCTGCACTTTCTACTCCGTAGAGTGCACCCAGATCTGGCCGAGTTCCAAGACCGAGTCCTTTAATTAGGCACGGAACGGCTGCTCGGAGTGACCAGGGTTGGAAATGTGTTTATCTTCTAGCTTGCCTTTTCTGCTTATAGAGCGAGCGCAGAGGTAACTGGTGAGGGGCAAAGTGTCTCTGACAGCGTTTTGAGGGAGTCTGAGTGGACGTGTGCACAGTGGAATGCACGGGACCGTCCCACAAACTGGATTGTAGATGAGGACCCCTCTGGCTCCTTTTTACCATTTTTAGAAAAAGAGACAGATTTACAGCGAAGGCAGGTGTATCCTTACCCCGAGGTGTATCACGCCTCGAGGTCCACCGGAGGGATCAGGTCTGGGGTGTCTGGCCCATTTGCTGTTAGGCCGCTGAGTGAGGAAGCTTACAGCTTAGACTGTCACAGGCGGAGGATGTGATGTAAAGGCAGAATCCAACTCTTTCTGCTCCTTTCTTTGCTGGACTTTAATGCATAATCAGAATTGGTCTTTGCTGCTCAGTTGTTACACCAAAGATTCTTTTATATAACTGTCATCCCTGTGGGTAATGTGTGTCAAAAGGTCACGTTATGCACATCACGTTGAAATTACTGGAGAAGCAGCTAGGATTTATTTTTTCTAAAGCGTGTTTTAAGGTATCACTTATAAATCTCATTACTAGACATTACATGCAATTTCACCGAGTGTTCACAAAAGGCGAAGTGCCTCCTTACTTTAAGTGCTGCACATATTCTTCATAATCACAAAATCGGGGTTGTTTGCCGAATCCAATTTTACTTAACATTTGAATTTAAGTACTTACTCAACATTACTTGAGCTATTATAATGCATTCGCCATTAAACAACAACAACCCTCCCCAAACCCTGAATTTTTTGGCATTTAAAGTACAGTGTACTTAACACTATCCTTTTACAAATGGATACAACCTTGCTAGAGTGTCATCCTTTAACGATAATGTTTTGGGATTAGTTTTTATTTTGCCTTTTAGATTACATTTAGTCCCAGTTTGAAAAGTGGAATTATAATTTTATTCTATTTTATCTTATCAGAGCTAGAGGACCTACTAAGTGTAAAGGAATTACCTTTCCAGAATTGGAGGCCCACTGGGAGTCTTGTGGGGCTTTTGGAGGGAACAAGCTGCTATTTTCAAGTTAATAAATGTTTTCAGGTGTAATCTGAGTCAGTTGGTGCAAGCCAGATTACCAGCAAGTGCATTTTCAGTTTGAGTAAAAGGGTATTTTAAGAAGAAAAGAAAGAACTTAACTGTTCAAACTCTTTTGGTTATAGTTGTTCATAAAAATGAGTAAAACCAAGTTTCACTCAGATCTAAAAGACTCTCTTGTTCTGCAGATCCATTAAGGAGAATTTTTTTTACTACTTTTAACTTAAAAAAAAAAAAAAA